TAATAATAATAATATCTCTACTCCTCATTCTAACTACGAGAATTAGCCCAGAAGTCGGAGACTTGTGCGGGAGAGGAGGCGGCATATTATTATTACGCAGGCCGCATTTGCGCCCAGGAACGACTTATGTTGGTAGGCCCTAACCACCATTCAGTGCCGGAATGAGGGAAACCTGGAAAACCTCATTAATTAGGGGGGTGGTCAAATGCCAACCGGTGTCAATCTCTCACATTGACCCAAGCCAACATTCTTCCACCCTACCATACCTGCACACAGGATACCAATCCTCCATACAAGCATAGCTAATCTACGGTCTACAGGCCGCGGGAATCGAACACGTGCAGAATTAGCACACGATTTAAGTACTGATGCCTTAAACCGTGCGGCTATGGACCGTATATGCCATTTTATTTGGAACACTAAAAAAATAGTGTGTATAGTACTCCAGTAACAACAAAGGAAAATTGTTTGCATAGAGTAAGGCAAGCGTTTGAGCATCTACTATCGAATTCTATTAGAGCAGCGACCCACAAGGAACTAATCCGAAGGTGTGAAAAATGTTTAGAAGTTAGGAAGTTGAAGCAAGACATTTAGAACATTTATTAAAATAAATTTGACAATTAAAAACCAGTGACAGTTGTTATGTTGATTGTTACTTACCTGTCACGGTCAACCTAAAATGTGCTAAACAAATGGAAACATCATTTTAAGAAAATTGAAATGTTTATTCGTAAATAAAATGAAAACCACTGGGTTTAGGTATAGGGAAACTTTAACAAAGTTAGACTTAATTTTAGTGCAGAATGCGAATTTCTATTCAAAAATTTCGAGTTTTCCACATTTTCTGAACTTCATATTTGATAATTTTTTTTGACCACCCTGTATAAAAACTGGAAAATTTTCGTGTCAAATTCGATAAATTAGGTCTTCCTCTACAGAATGTCCAATTTGCACCAAAAAATTAATCTATGTTTCCCGGAAAACTAAATTTTGCTGACAGTGCATCTGTCAATTTTTGCTTAAAAATCAAAATATCTTTTAAATGGTCAATCCTAAGTATGGAGTGTGCTATATATTTTCAACATAATAATAGGTGCTCTTTCCAAAAATGCAATAATACACAGGAGGTTCCATTTAAAATAAGAAAGTTAGTATCGACTTCCGGTATAACCGGAAGTACGATGACCTTGAAAATATTTTAGCTTAGTAGGCTCCACGGTCACACCATCACAATTTCAAAAAAATCCTTTGAGCGGTTTCCCAGATATTCACTAATGGAGTTCGTGGTGGGACACCCTGTATATATGTATGTATATAAGCCCCATATACCGGGTGATTTGCGGCTCTGTATCTCTTACATTTTAATAAATAGCTATAACAAATCCTATATATTGTTAAATCACCACTCAAACTCTATCAAATGACATTATTAGATCGTCTCCATGGTAACATATGTCAAAATTGCTATAGTCAACTGTTTTTATACAAATGGCACACTATATATTTTTTTTTATCAATTCTGGAAGATATTTTTATAGTTTCATTAGAAATATTTCTAGAAAAACAGCAAAAAAGATGAAACATACTTTTCGTAGCTTTATTCTAAAAAATTATAGCCAGCTACAGAAACAAGTTACTATTTTTTTAAAGTAACATATTTTATTTTTAATATGATAATAATATAACAATTTAAAACAATACTTATTTTAAATGTTCAAAATAACCTCCATTTGCTTCAAACACAGAATAGCTCTGTTTATCACTCCCTCTCTACAAACACATTCTAGTGTTTGTTCATTTAATTTCCGACATTCTACTCTTATTCTGTTTTTAATATCGTCAATATCATTTAGGTAAGGCCAAAAAAGAAATTTATAGGAATGAGATCCGAAGATCTAGCGGGCCATTTAACATCTTTATCGAATGTTATTCATCTCTTACACTTCTGGGTTTTAACACTCTTCTTTTCTTTTGAAAATTTCCATCTGCCGCCAAATTCCTGGCTAACTTTCCGAAAATTTTATCTGATGGAAGTTGTCTGCAGAAAACGATGTTTGTATAAATACCTGGTAGCTGTAGCATTCTTTCGGCCCTCTCCATTACTTAAATTCATATCTAGTTTTTCTTGGTTACTGTAAGTATTCATGTTACAATTATAGTCTACTGGCCTACGTACAAAAAGAAAAATGATTACCAGCAAGCTGTAACTTTGCGTCTATAGTAGGATCATATTCGATGCAAAGTAATAAATCATTACCTGTCAAGGGATTCATTGCAGTACGGTTTTAAGGGGTTTATAAATTGATTAATTTCTTTATGCATTATAGCTTAATAGTTATATATTTATAAAGGACAAAATGAAAAACAAAGGCATCTCCTTCGCACATTGGGCGGCAGGGCAACTATACATTTATTACTCCCTTCATCCTCCCTCATATGACTTGTGTCTTGTGTTTTTTGCGGCGGCGCGCGTGCCGGCCCGGCGTGGTCAGTTTCGTTTCGATTGTATTGGTGCTGCGTGTTTCTCGCTTTCGATATTTCTGAGGTTATAACTGTTATAAGTGCAATTATATTTCGTTCGGGCTGTATATGTGTTTCGCGCTATTATTTGAGAATTTGTGAGTGAAATCACATTTCTTGTGCTCCGTAACAAAAGTGTTTTTAGTGTTTTATTTGTGTCCTGTGTGTGTGTTTCAGGCTGTTTGTGAATCGTGAATGCTATTATATTTTCTGTGCTAGTGAAGTGAAGTTTTTTGTATTATTATTGCTCTTTTGTCGTTATATGGAGAAATGGAGGCGGTGCCTGGATGTTCGCAAGCCGGATGCCCACCCTGAAATTTTCAGAAAAATAAACAAATATTTGTGTATATATTTATCAAAGTGATTTGACAGTTTTTATAAAATTAGATCTAAAATGCGTTACCTCCTTTGAAACTGCCCCTACCAAATTTTAAAATTATATTTTAATCATGATCTCGGCAGCAACCAACATAACATTCGGGCTAGCCCGTGGCCGCTGAATTAAACAACGCCGTACCCCAACCATATCTTGCATGCTTATACGCACCTAGGACTAGACAGTAATCGGAAACTTAAGTCCATCACTAATTTAGAATATTTGGCCCAAGTCGGGCGAGCCCGCACACCGCACACAGCACGCATATACCCATTGAGTACCCATCGAGTGTTGTATCGACCACCTAAGACTTTTCACCAGTGGTTGGAAATATATATATATATATACGTATATTTATTTGCTGTAATTTTGTTCTTTAAATGAATTTTTAAATATTAGAACAATTTTTCCCTGCAAAGGTATTCCAGAAAACAAATTTTAGTAAACGAAATAATAAACCGTTTTATAATAATTTGTAAATCGCGTAAGAGAAATAAATATCTATGATGCTATGTTGAAAGTTCTTTGATAATTATAATTATTAAGGTTATTTTAACTCGTTACTGTTAAACTGAATTAAAAGTGATTACTGAGAAATTTTCAATATTTGAATAGATTCTAGTTTGTAAACATGGGAGTGATGTAAATTATTTTTGAGATGATCTCAGCAGCAATCAACATAACATTCGGGCCAGCCCGTGGCCGCTGAATTAAACAACACCGTACGTTGCCTGCTTATGCGCAGGGATAGGACTAGAGAGTAATCGTAAACGTAAGTCGTTCACTAATTTAGAATATCTAGCCCAAGTCGGGCGAGCCCGGACACAGCCCGCACCCGCATACTCATAGAGTGTAGTATCAGCCAACTACGACTTTTCGCCAGCCAGCCAGCAGCGGTTGGAAATATATGTATATTTATGTGCTGTAATTTTGTTCTTTAAATGAATTTTTGAACATTAGAACAATTTTTCCCTGCAAAGGTATTCCAGCAGTGATATAAATTATTTTTAGGACTTTTAAATTCAATACATATTTATTTATTTTTTCAAATAATAAACTGTTCGATTAAAAAATAACTCTCACTCGTATATTCTTCGGGTACTTACGTGTAATCTGCGGTTTGATGTTAGTTTTATTTCATAGATTAGAAAGGTAGAGATTTGTTATTCCTTGTACTTCACGACTTGGTTGTTTGTAAGTTCTAGGTTAGGGTTAGTATAGTGGTTTAGGTAAGTTTTTAATGTTTAATGTTTGGAGTAATGCAAAATGGCAAGCCGAAAATAGCGAATTGGTGAGTAGCAATGGTGATATTATTAATTTTTTATTAAATAAAAAGTTTTGTATGTTAACTTTCGATGATAAATTATTTATTTCAAAATTAAAACCTACGCCTGACA